ACCTCTCTGGAGTTGCTCTACGATGGGAGCAAACCTCTCTGGAGTTGGCTCCGCTCAGACAAACGTCAGAATTAAATTGTTTTTCTATAAATTTAGGTTTTTCAAACAGCTACAACAGATGAGATATGAAATGACAAAACCTCTCCTCAGAACCCTCAATTTAAAAAAAAAAACTGTCTTAGTGTTTTAAGATACAGAGCAGACAGAAAGTAGGAAAAAAGAGCAGATTATTTGATTCCTTTCTAAATAAACTTCCAGTTAAATATCTCATCGCTTCGTTGAAGTGGCTGGTGACATCAACAGATAAGAAAACACTTTTAGGATAAAAGCACACGTTATCTTTAGGTTTCAGAGCGTTACCTAAAAGTTTGACTCAACTGCAAATATAAAAATACATGAATCATTTAGGGCCATTAATTAGACAGAAGTTGTTTACCAGCAGCGCGTGCGTCGTTTCCTTGACAACCAGCTGCAGCTACTTGCAAACCAGTGCCTTGTTGGCTGGTGATGAGAATCTCACGACCGAGGAAAGAAAGCACTTTTTTCAGAAAATCCTCTCGTTTGCTGGCATGCCCGGAGACCCCGGTAAGTTTGCATGTTCTTTACTGGTTTGGGCAACAAATATATTTAAATCAAATGACCTTGTTAAATACGCCCGTCGAAGGCGGCATCATGGTGGTGTTTCCATCTGTCAGTGCATAAACCGGCCCATATCTTCTGATCCTGCTTCTGTTTCTATCAAACGTTTTAAACGTTAGTTTTCTGCTCTAAATGTCTCAATGATCTTGTAAATGCTGAGTCAGCTCCTGGCTAACGCCACCTGTTCCCCTTGTCTCCAGCTCACAAAGTGTCTCTCAGCATGAACGTTTTTGCTCAGCTGACACGACTCCAGTTCCACCCTGCGACAGCCTCGGTGCACTCCGGAGGAGACCTGCAGGTGGAGCTCACCCTGAAGTCTCTGATGCCCGTCTCGGTGCGCATACAGCAGCTAGCTGCTAGCGTTCACTTTGACGTGGATCACGGAGGGACTCTCGGGAGGTCCCGAGGAACTCAGAGACTTACGAACTCGGGAACGATGGAGTTCAGCCTGGGTAACCCGTCGGCAGGTCTCCCCTCCTCCGCAGCTCCTCGTCCTGTGTTGGAACTGGACGAGGTTCAGGACAGGAGCCCCTCGGACAATTCTCTCAACTCCACGGGAGTGGTGTGTAAAAACACTCACCTGCTCATGCGTCGCCATGAAAGCAGCTCGCCGCCGGAAACGCCCAACTGTGTGAGCCCCCCCACCGTTGCTATGAAGGAAGGAGCGCAGATGCTGAAGGTGCAGGACGTAACGCTGGAGCCTGGAAACAACAGCGTCGTCTTCACTGCACCAGTAAGATGCTCTCTCCAGCTCCTATCACCTGAAGAGCATCTCCCTCAGCCTGCTCTCCTGAACCTCTTTCCTCCTGTGTTCTCAGAGTGGACAGCCTGGTTCCTACATGTTGCGGCAGCTGTGTGCCACCGTGGGCCCCGTTCACTTTGTCCAGTCTCACATCTACCCGTCGGTCAGATACGAAGTGTATTCTCAGGAGCCCCAGCTCACGGTGGAGCCACTCGCAGGTCTGAGCGTTTTATTTCAGTAAAATCAAAAAGGTTTTGTGTCGCTGCTGATGACTCATTTTCAGGTTCTGCAAGTTGAGTTCATTTCACTGAACTTCTTTAATATCACTTTTTTCCATCACCCGTTCGACCCTCTGGGACTTTTGATCATTTATTGAATTCATCCGTTCAAAAATGACGCACCAAATAAAAGTCAGAAATGTGTTTTATTTTATTATTTTGATTTGTATCTATAACAAGAAGCTTTGAAAAAGGTATTTGAGAATCCCCAAAGAAAACACCGCAGTTAGAAAAGCTCCACACTTTGTAAATAAATCGTCCAAGTACCGTAATTTCCGGACTATTGAGTTCCCCTGAATTTAGGCCACGCCCACTAAATAATAATAAATAAATAAAAAGATAAATTTGTATTTAAAATAGGCTGCGCTTGTGTATAAACCGCAGGTGTTCACGTTGCAACATGGAGATATTTACACAGATTTTTAAACATTTTATGAAATACGTACCGGTAACGTACACAAACGTACAGTATTTACACACGGTAAATGTTTTTTTCAGAACAGTTCCTGTAACACGGCTGGTTAAAACAACAACAACAACAGTAGCCTACCAGGAAGTCATTGATCGCTGGCTTCGTCGTCCTACTGCTCCACTGTCAGGATCCACTGGCAGGGGAGTAAAAGTTGCTCTGCACATGCAGGGAGTCCCCCCCACGTTCTCTCCTCCCCGTTTCAATGGTCCTATGACATGTTCGGTAATTTCACTGGTCAGATTTATTTATTTATTTAAAACCGTTATTTATACAGGTAGTTTCATGAAGTCATGAGGACCCACCCCCCAAGAGAGACGTGTATTGAGCAGCTATACGAGCGCCCGGGCGTGACGATGCTAAATGTTTTGGCGGCAGGAAGCTCGTTAGCCCGTCAAAAAAAACTAACAAACATAAATTAGCCGCAACGTTCAAGGCCTGTGGAAAAAAGAAGTGACTTATAGTCCAGAAATTACGGTAATAAAACTATTATTAAAAGCAAAATTTAACTTGTCCAACCACCCCCACCCGTCCTCACCAGCTGACAACCAACGCGTCCCTCCCAAGACCAGAATCCCTACAAACGGCACCGTGCTTCTGCTGCTGTGCTCGTTTCCTGCATCCCTTTTTTAACTAAACATTATTATTATTTATTTTTGCTCATGGAACTCGTTTGTGTCCTCAGAGCCCCTGTTGGCAGGTCTGCCTCAGATGGTGAAGTTCACGCTGTCGACGGGTCATTACGCCGTGAAGAAAGGAGACGCTCTGCAGCTCAGTAACTCCGAGACCATGCCCATCCTGCCCTCCGCCAGCTGCACCACCCGCATCAGCACCTCCACCACCGGTCAGCCAGCGGACGTCGTCGACACTTTGAACAGCTAACAGGATTGTTTCCATGCACATTATCGTTAAACGTCGTTGCTTGTGTCCACGTGATCAGAGCTGGTGGGTGAAAGCATCCTGTCCATCCAGTCCTCGGAGAAGGTGACCAGCATCAGCCTTCCTCCCACCCCACCCTACCACACGCTGGAGTTCCACTTGGAGGTTCTGTGCATCATTCCGTCCGGGTCTGAGCGGCCGGCCAACGAGAGGCTGACGAACGGGGAGATCCGCCATCGGCCGCGCAGCTACAGCCACCCTGACACCCCGATGATGGCCGTCGACCAGAGGGTGAGACAAACGGTCGTTCGGACGTTGAGTGAGCGTTCACTGCTCATCAGGGAGAGCGGGCGGTGGGGACACTTCCTGTTTCTTCTTATGTACCGCTCAGACAGCAGGACAACAGTTAGATTATAATTATTGATCTATTACAATGTAGTGAACCAGTCGTGTTTAACTGGTCACTTTTGATTTTATTTGTGTTCTTATAACACCCCACTACATGGATTGGTAAGTAAAGAACTTGTAATTTAGCTAGTTGGGTGTTTTATTTTAAATATTTATTAATTATAAAGCAGGCTTGTGTGAGGTGCGTATGAATTGGTGATGTGATTTGACAGATCTAACCAGTTGAGTCAGGTCCTCTGGGCAGGTTCTTCATCTTCTATCCAAACTTCTTCAGTGTGAGGAGCTGCGGCAGACCGTTCAGATTAGAGACACTGTGGATGAGACGTTCATCGAAAACCACCCGACGCTTCAAGCTGTAAAGGGACGTGTTGCACGATGGGCCATCGGTGACACATTCCAGAGATGTCGCTGCTGTTTTCTGAGCTTATTTACACTTTCATGTTATAGTTTAGATGATGGGCTGAAATATTGATCGAAAGGGGATCGATTTTAAAACGGAGGGTAAAATTAGGCAGAGCTTAAATATAGAACCATTTTGCCTAATCTGTCAGCTCAGTAACAAGATAATGTGTTGAAATATGATCCCCGCTTATTTCTTTGTTCCCCATCATGGAGCGAAGGGGGGGACATGGAAATACCCCCCCCCCCCCCACATCCATTCATCCGGCCGGTTGGCCCAATGTCTTGTGAGCTGGATAATTAGAAAAATAAGTGAGGTGTTGTCTTCCATTTTGGTGTGCAGCTGTGGGCCTGTGATCGGAAGGTCACCGGTTCAAGTCCTCGGACTGACAACATCCACATGTGGGTGGGAAAGGTGAAACTCACACGTGCCTCCACCCTCATTTGTCCTATTGTGGGCCCTTGAGCAAGGCCCTTAACCCCCACCATCTGCTCCCCGGGGCTCCCTACACACCAGCTCTCTGCTCCACACAGAGGCTGTGGTAGCTCAGTGGTCTCTGGCTGCCTCAGGAAGGGCGTCTGGCGTAAAAACAATCACCAAGTCTTTGTGTCGCTTTGGCGACCCCTAAAGAAGGGAGCAGGCGGGGGAAATAAATAAATAAATATATCTATATATTTATATAGAGATATATATTTGCTTCCTGATGTGTGTGTGTGTATAAACTGGTCACCCCAATAATTTGAGGAAATTATGCTTTCTATTTTTTTTTGCTTAAAAGTATAGTTTCCTTAAATCATGTGGGTGGTCCTTGGGGTGGCCAAAGATTAATTTGTTGAGGCCAAGACCATCAGGGGCCACCCCCTGGCTCTGCCATTGGTGGATTAAATTGCTCCCTCCACTTGCCAGGATCCGTCACGCTGCGCTGCCTCGGACGAGCATCAAAGACAAAAACCTCCGTGTGTTCCTCTCCACAGTGAAACTCCCACTCGCTCCAAGAACATTAAGGTTTTACTCACATTCTCTGTTCACTTCCAGTCCAGAACAACAGTCGTCTTGAAAACTACAAAATATTCAAATCCCTCAGCGACAGGGGGACATTCCTCCCGTTTGTCTCACATGTGAGTTACGATGGTCCTAAATACATGTATCAGTTTATTAATTGTCTGTAATCAAATGCAGGGTGTTGAAAGACGAACTTTGATCTAAGGAGAATTGACTCACGTCTGACCGTCATTCCAGCAGAATGAATCCAATATGGACGCCTTTTGTTCCTGTGTTTAAGTAAAAGTTGTGACCAAGTTGTCTGATGTGGTGTGTAACTCCACACCGTGATATCCAACGCAGCTACAGCCTACCGGTACTTTCAAAACATCCAGTCAGAGATTTTATTTGTTTCTGCAGATGTCTATCGACTGTCCGTGGTCCATTTACTCCACCCTGCTGACCCTCACCTTCTACATCCCCTTCAAGACCAAACACTCTCTGCTCTCTGCTGGTAACAGGTGAGCCCTCATCCTGGCATGTTGGATTCATAAAGTTCATCAAATGAAATAAGAAATGCACAAACGATGTTCTGACCTTACCCCACAGAAAGTACATCCAGGTGTGTTTGCAGAACGTGTCGGACGTGAACTTCACGCTGGCCGAAGTGAAGCTGACGGAGAAGCAACACGCTTCGCTGGAGCTGCAGTCCTTCAACACTAAAACCCACCAGGTGAGAAGAGAGCAGGAAGTCCAACACAGGACGTTCAGAACTGAAACACCAGAAGAAGATCCAGATGTGATTACATCGTACGTGTTTGTTTCCTCCGTGTGTAGCTCTTGTGCAGTAAGCACAGTGTGTTCTGCCTGTGGGAGGTGAGGTGGAAGGATGACCTGCCTTCCTGTCTACAGTGCGTCTTCTCCGCCAACTTCTCTCCCGTCAACCAGGAAGCCTCTGCCTTTAAACCGTTCCACTACCAGTTCCAGCTCGAGAGAGTCACTGTGAGGACCCAAACACTTGAAACGCTGATTCTGGTCGACTCTCAGCGAGTCCAACCAGTCTGATCTCCTGTTTAGAAGTGAAGACGACACATGTTGTTGTGACTCTGAGTGGCTGATCGTAACTGTGCTTCCTGCTGCAGACGTTGTACAGCGTGAGAGCAGACATCTTACCTCCTGCTGGCGAGCAGCACTGTCGCTGCGGCCTGGTCTGTGGACTCCAGGTGTGCATCACTCGACTGACCGAGCCTTCAGAGGGAGAGATCACAGAGGACAGCAGAACGGACACAGATGGACTCAAAACAACCAAACTCATGTATGAAGGTAAGTTATCACCATCACATGACGTTATCCATGTGACAGTAGAATCTATAAATGTATTCACCTCCAAGCCACGTCATTAGTTTCACTTCTCACAGGTGATTCTTATTTAAGTAAACAATGTTCCCACTTTATATCTAATCATCAGAATCAACACCTGTAAGCTTTAAGTGCTACCAACATGAAGACCAAGGAACCCTGAACACACACAGGTCAGAGACTAATCGGGCCGAGAATTGACTGGAACCGGGTCCAACGTTCCGATTCTCCCGGAATCGTTCAGATTTTAATTTTCGATTGCTACTTTCGTTACGTAGTCCGTCGAACACCAACGAAGAAGAATCTGCAGGAAGTGTGTGTGCGACCGTGGACAGTGTGCGGCCGCGATCGAAACGTGGCTCAACTTTAATAAAGAAATGAGCGGTCGGCTCAGCGCTACGCTTGCAATAAGATTAGATCGTGCAAAGGAGGGTGCATGACCAACACCTCGGGGATCGTGGTGCAGAAGTAAGAGTGCCCCATGTTTGACGCGCTGCGCGGGGCTGCCTCCTCCTCCGGCTTCGACCCGCAGCCCGTCAACCCTCTGCAGTCCGAGTCAGGTCATTAAAACTATGAACTGCCTCTTATTCCAACATTAAAGCAGCCAACAAGTTTTACTCGACCTACAGCGGTGGGTCAACTCCAGCGCAAGTACCATGCTAACGTTAGCGCGTGTGTTTTTTCATAGACCAACAACAAGTTCACGAGTTTGATATTTATATACTGGTTTAAAATATCCCTGTGAGAAATTCATAGTAAAGTTACTCAAAAGTTAAAAGTTCATAGAATTAAAATTCAAAGAGTTCCTCTCGTCTCAAAAAGTTCCTCTAAAAAGAATCGCTAGGAACCGGAACTTCAACGAGGAATCTGAATCGTTCACGTTCAAACGTTGCCCAACTCTAGAAAAGGAGTGAAAAAGTTTAAATCAGGGTTGAGTAAGAAAAAACTTCCCAAACGTCAGACGGGACTTTCCCAAAAACAACTCTCTAAACGTGGGAGAAGCTGCTGTGGTCACACGAGACAAAGATCTACGTTTCTTCCGTTCAGGACAACAACTCGTGTGGTGCAAACACACCACCTCTCATTCTGCTGAGCGCACCGTCCACACACTGAAGCACGGTGGTGGCAGCATCATGCTGTGGGATCATTTATACACTCGGGGGGTAAACGTGTCTGTCTGGTAAAAATGTAAATAGTTACTGCAACATTTATTATTGGAACAAACACAAGACAAGCCCTTTGTGCGTGTGTGTGTGTAGTGGCTGACAGCAGCAGCAACTGGGCGGTGTGTGGAAAGAGTTCAGGGGTGGTGCTGATGCCGGCGAAGGTCAACGCCGCGCACAAGGTGCAGATCGAGGTGATGCCGCTGTTCGCTGGACATCTGCCTTTCCCCAAGATCAAAGTGCTCAAATACCTTCCTCATGCGGCCGCAGTGGCCCCGCAGCCAGACCCGGGTAAGACCCCCCCACCACCACCACCACCACCACCACCACCACACTTCAAGCAAACGACAGTTAAACTTTTAAACCAACATTTTTCAAATTTACCCTGCTAGGATTAATAAAGTATACATCCATACATACAGTCTTCCTTTCTCACTTAATTCCTTCCTTCCTTTCTTAATTGTTTCTTTCCTTCCTTGCATTCTTCCTTGCTTCCTTCCTTCCTTACTTTCTTCCTTCCATCCTTCCTTCTTTTCATCCTTCCTTCCTTTCTTCCTTCCATCCTTCCCTATTTACTTCCTTTTTTTCCCTTACTTCCTTTCTTCCTTACTTCCTTCCTTACCTACTTGTTCTACAATTTACATCAGACACTTGATCTTTGCAATTTAAACATCAAACAGAAATTAAACAAAACAATTTTTCCACATTTAAGGACTAATGTTTTCAGGAAGACTGCCATAGATTTCCTTCCTCGGCTCTTGTTGTTGCTGTTGTTGTTGCTGTTGTTGTTATTGTTGCTGTTGTTGTTGTTGCTGTTGTTGTCGTTTGCCTTTAGACCATTTGGTTGACGTTCCCCGTCTTGTCGGAGTGCTTGTCGGTGCCGGCTCAGCTCTCGGTGACGATGCCGTCAGCCTCCTGCTGACCTGGCTCCTCCCTCTGATCGACGTAACGACTTCTCTTCTTGCCGCCTGCAGACAGCTGCGTGGAGAACGACAGCCTGTCCCTGCTGGACAAGACGCTGGACGACCAGGCGGACACGGCGAGCATCCGCAGCCGGGGCAGCGTCCACTCGGTGGGCAGCAGCGACCAGCAGCAGCAGAGGGGCGTGGCCATGCCGCGTCTGGAGCCCTTCAGCCCCGGACAGGTGTTCAACCACAGCCACACCCAGCAGGTCCTGGTGCTGCCCACCACCGACGACCACATCATGGAGGTCAACGCCACATGACCCTGGGGGTGAGACTGCCCGCACCCTTGTTATGGGACTTGGCCCAGACTCTGGATGAACTCCTTTAAGCTCTGAGACACATCTGGGCCGGGTCCAGGTCAGAGGTCCTGCTGCAGGTCACGATACGGACGTAATCAGCATGAAACATCACTGGAGCCGTGACGGACTACACAGTGAAGAGCCAACTGCTGATACGTTGAAATAAAAACTCTTTCCTGCCATACTTTGTACATATCTCATTGAATGGATTTATAGATATGAATATATATAAATATATGAACTGATGAATCAAATCTGTTCCTGTCGTGCTGTTTTCAACTGAAGAAACCTTCTGTGTGTGTTCGCCATGATCGGGATCAGGACGTGCTGATTTGGGCCTCGGGTGGGTTCAAGTTGGAAACTTCTGCCTTTCAGACGGTTCTTTGATTGACCCGGCTCTGAAAGACGAGTTTAATTCTGACCAGACTGATCAGCTGCTTTGAATGTTTAATTAGTTGTTATCATCCCCATATGTAGCGTCAGACTGCCCCTCCTGTACCTCCTAGTGGGTTTCAAGGTGCGTTGTTAGCGATGATAACAGGTTCACATGGTTGGGTTCAGAGTAGAGGGTCTGGCGGTTAGGTTTAGGCACAAAGGTAAGGGGTTATACATGGTTGTTGGCGTAATATTCAGTAATTATCTACAAATGGCACTAGCAGCAGCTAGCAGTAGCACTTCCTGTGTTTTGACCTGATTTCAGTTTAAACCACTCAAATTTCCCAGTCTTTGCATTAAAACAGGGTTTTGAGCATAATCTGTTCAGTTTTTAAGAAATATAAAGTTAATTATTTTAAAAACTGCAGATTAAAAATGTTAAGGACATAAATGAGGGCCTTGAAAATCCTCTTGGCCTGGTTTGAAATATTTTGTGGCTTTTGAACGATTGTACAAAACCTGCGTTTGAAACTGCCGGCTGATGGCAGCTGTGCTGTACTGAAAGCATCAGCACGCAGCTTTGTGGTTTTAGACTTGGTCTCACGTGCGCAGACGTTATCATGATCACTCAACATTAAACGAGAAAAATCTATTTCACGTACAAACGGGTGCCATCTTGTCAGGTGGATGTGATTGTATGAAAAAGGTCCTACGCATTATTTGTTCTGAATTTAGTCTCGGCAGGTAAAATGTTATTTACTGAATGTTCAGCGCTAAAGTACAAACGGCTCAACTGATGAGGTGGAACGTGACCCGGTCAGTCAGAGCTAAGAAGTAAAGATGGGCACAGGTTTACCAGTCTGTGAAAAACTCTTAACTTCAGATTAATGTCCGTCAGTGGGACTTTGAAGATCTCGTCATCTCCAGCTCGTAATCTCGTTAAGATGTGAAGAAATCTGTGCACGAAGACATTAACTTTGAGCTGTGCACGAAATGTAAAGATTGAGGAAGTCAAACTAACAACAGTTACATTGTGTGACATCGTTTTACTTTAAATTGAACTTTTTGTTTTAAAATCTGCAGAAATCTTCATTTTAAGCAATAATTCTTTAAAATAGTTCACATTTTTGAACAGTTTAAACCTTGAATGATATAAAAACGTGTGCAGTGACAAAGAGGCCTAGAATTTTCTCACTTATTTAGCAAAAATGTTTGTAGAATTTAATTTATCCTGTTTTTTTTTCCTCCTAACGAACTGTTCCCAGTCAAACCACACGTGTTGAAGATGGTCTGGGTTTCCTCGAAGCTGCAGGAGGCCGAGGGAGACGCAGCGTGACGGACGGAGAAATAAGAACGTGTGTGCACTGACACACAAATAACTGAAGGAAGAACTGGATCAAAGAATCACTTCTAATTGTTTTATATCAGAATGAGGTCGAACCTGTTGATCATTTGAATGTTCTGGTTTGTATCAGGAAAATAGTTGATATCGTTTGCATTTCTTTCAGTTTTTTATGGATCTTTAACTACAGACAGGAAACAGATTTACAAAATAAAATGTATTCTGGATGATGGTTGTAGATCAGAACAAGAAAGAAGAACTCAAAGTCTTAAAAGATTTAATCAGAAACTAAACGATGCCGTGGTTTTTGAATTGAAGGTGTTAAACTTCACTTTTTTTAAATTGAAGGTGTTAAACTTCACTTTT